ATGCTGCTAACAGTAACACACTGCTAACAGTTCCATGCTGCTAACAGGACCACAGTGCTAACAGTACCATGCTGCTAACAGGACCACAGTGCTAATAGGACCACACTGTTAACAGTTCCATGCTGCTAACAGATCCATGCTGCTAACAGTAACACACTACTAACAGTACCATGCTGCTAACAGGACCACACTGTTAACAGTTCCATGCTGCTAACAGTTCCATGCTGCTAACAGTAACACACTGCCAACAGTTCCATGCTGCTAACAGTACCACACTGTTAACAGTTCCATACTGCTAACAGTAACACACTGCTAACAGTTCCATGCTGCTAACAGGACCACACTGTTAACAGTTCCATGCTGCTAACAGGACCACACTGTTAACAGTTCCATGCTGCTAACAGGACCACAGTGCTAACAGTACCACGCTGCTAACAGTAACACACTGCTAACAGGATCATGCTGTTAACACTAGCAATGTTTTCATAACACTACTTTTCTTTTAATTGCCTTTCATTGTTGTATATTGTTGTCTGTCTAAAACATGTCTCTCTTGAAAATGAGTCCTTGTGTCTCAGTGAGTCTACCTGTATGAATAAAGGTTAAATAAAATAGTTTTTGTAAAAAGTAAAATAAATGGGGTTCTGCCAAACACTGTTTATGGAAGTTACTGGATTATTGAGCATGGACTTTACTGTTTATGGAAGTTTGAAACATTGAATATTTGTCCAACATTTTTCAGTCAGGTCATCTGGATAGTTTCTTTTTTTGTGCTGAAATGTTTCGCCTTCGATCCAGAAGGCTTCATCAGTCAAGGAAACACAACAAAGCTGATTCTTCTTCCAACAGCTTACTCCAAAGTGGAACAAACCAGTTCTGCTTGTGATGAGATGGTTAGATCTCATCACAAGCAGAACTGGTCTTTCCACTTGAATGTTTGAGGTCGATGTGTGAGTCGAGCCAGCCTTGTCTGAATTTGTTATAAATATAAATACGTATGATTTAAAAACTAGTGTTCCCTGATAAATGCACATCACCTTGCGTGCCTAAGTGTTAAACAAATATCTTGTTAGCGTTTAACAAATGTAAAGCACTCGTGTGGGGCGTTTTCTGATCATCTAAAGCTGCGATTCACCTGAAAGTTGGGCAGAGGGTTCGGGGTGGAAAGCCACGCGGTGCGGGGGTTCTCTTGGTAGCGAAAGGGTCCACTGAAGGCCACGGTGATGGAGCTCAGATTGAAGGCACAGACTGCTGAAGCTGACAAACTGTTCCTGGAGTCAGGGAGGGTGGTTAGTTACGGTACCTTCTCAGTCAAGAACAGCTGCTTGAGTAAAATGCTTCGGTAATTACGTTCATAAACAACAACCCTCACACGTTAGTGGTGAAGACGCCGTAAATGAGTTCCTGCTCGGGCAAAAGGAAGGTGCTCTGCAGCTCGTTGTAGTAAAACGGGATTTCCCCCGAGCGCGAGCAGTTGAGGCGGGCCTTCACGAAGGTGGTCCAGGTGTCCTCCAGCAGAAAACGTCCCCCTACGTCGTTCTTGCAGACACGCGCCACTCGGGAGAACGCCACCTTCCCACAGTCGTTCTCCACGGCGGTTTCTCTCAGGAAGAAGTACGCAAACTGGCCAATCTCATAGGTGGACACAAAATGAGGCTCTGGGAATAAAACAAGAAGAAAAGGTTCGGCGGTTTGAGCGAACACAAAGTTGATCAAACAATTCACCTGAGCTTCGTTAACCATTGAGCCATTTGGAGTTGTACTGAGCAGTCCGCAGAGGCGGCATGTTCCCCAGGCTCCTGTAGATGACCGGGTCACGTCCAGAGAAATCGATCACCGTGGCGGCGTACAACTCGCCTCTCTGCGTCACCATGGCGGTGGAGTTGTGACGCGGGTCATAGGGACATCGAGCGACGCCGTTCACTGTGTCCAACGCCTGACTGAGGTTGGAGATCTGACAGGAGGAATCAAAAACAAGGAGGACCAGACTTTGTCGCCATAATCAGCTGTTTTTGATGCACGTTCATGTTGGACGAACGGTAACTGGCTGTGAAGAGCTTTACCAACCTGCCTGGTTACGCAGGCGGGCGTAAACGCGTTGGTCCCACACGTGAAGAGCGTCCTCCCGCTAATCAGCAACACACGGATATAGTTCTGACATTCGTCCTGCACAAAAGGAGTCACCACAGGGTGGGAACAAGGTCGCCCAAAGAGAACAGAAATCATGTCTGCTACCTCAGATTTGCCTTTGCTCTGACAGGAGCGCTTCGTGTCCTCATCGGGTGCCCATCTGGTTGCCTGAGGAAAAAAAATCTCATTTTAGGGAATTAGTTCCTGAAGTAGCGGCTGCAAATAACATCACAGACAAAAGAACGACATAGAAACTTTAGTCTACTTTAGCAATCTCATTTTTTGGACTATTTGTCTTCTGACTGAAACACGGTAAAGTGTTTAGAAAACACGTGTATCGTCGTTTTTACTGGTTTGTAAAAACTAAACTGGAATGTTGGCAATCACTGAGACTGGACGTTATGCTCCTTACAAACTGCGAGTGGAATGAAACTAGCAAAACTTTCTGAAACACAAAAGGGTAAAATCAGGTTTAAGAGATATATTCCTCAGTTGGGTTTCAGCTACGACTCAGTTCTTTGGCTACTACTCCAGTTTCAGCTACGACTCAATTCTTTGGCTACTACTCAGTTGGGTTTCAGCTACGGCTCATAGTTAGACTAGTAATAATTTAGGTCAGTCCCAGTGGATTCTGTTTCTGGTGGAGAGATTTGTAACAAAAATGTTTAATAAACGTTCGTTTCTTGTTTTAGCTCATGTCAAAGTAACTTTTTGTGTCTGAGTTCAGCATCCCAGCAGCTTAACTTCGGCTCCCTTACCTGAATGAGCGAGGCGTTGTTTAAACTCAGTTGGAAGAGGACGTTTCTGAAAGACATTCTCCCAGTTAGAAGTAAAACAACAAGGCGTCGTCGACAAACGGCTGCATGTTCTGAACCCGTTTCGCCTCCTGGCAGCGAGCTGAAGCTCGGCTGGACTCTGGGTTCGCTTTGTTTGACACTAAATGTTTTTCTTCACCTGGCTCCTACGATGAGCTGATTCCTGCTCAGGTCTACGGCCAGCTGGGAGAAATCCTTCACTCCTGGATGAGAAAACTCGGACAGCCACGACCTCAAGGCTGAAAATATCCGTAAAAAAGACAAACGGGAGCATTAGAGGCACAGAAGAGGAACATCAGAAGCAACGTGAGGAACATGTGAGAAGATTCTAAACTGGACAATATTTTCAGATAGGAGCATTTGGCTTCCATTTTCATTCACAGTAAACTACGACACATTTTTCAGCCAAATATCATCCGGGCACTCGATTTGACAGTTCCATTAACCGTAGAGAATGGGCTGGGACACAAAACAAACATCTAGATTTAACTTCCACTTACAGAAATGTTTCTATTTAAAGACTTGCTGCTGTACAAAGATGATTTTTCTCACACACAGGGCGAGAAACGTCTAAAAGTGAACAATAGATAAGTTGTTTTAGCTGTTAGCACCAGTGTAGCAACAAGCTGATACCTTCGGCTGCTCTGATATCAGTGCTCGCTCCTCTCAGCTAACAGTGGGCTGAATAAACCCTGAACAAAGAGCGCAGATTCTGAAATGAACGTAACTGACATCCAGTCATAATAACGCCATAGAAAACCCTTTTGATACTCGTACAGCGCCGTGGACAACGTTTAACGAGCCCGTGCTGCTAGCACGCAATGAAAAGTGCGTGAACGTTTGGACCCACTGTATCTCTGACGTCACGAGCAGGAAACACCCGACCCCAGCACCGTGACGCACGTTAACAGGTCGTCTGGTCTGGGTCCTTCAGAACGCTGCAGGACTCAATGAGCTGAGGGGACGGGGAGCAACGCGGGACAGTTCTGCACACGTGACGCTCCAAACACTAATCCTGCGGCTCAAACACGTGATCCGTTTCCAAACAGCAGATTTGTCCACATTCCTTTCACCTGCTCAGTTAACGAGAAACAGTTAGAAATTGAGACTCAGCTTGCACCGTTTGTTTTAGGTGGTCCTTTCCAGCCCGCAGCATCCGTTCTGCTCCTCGGCTACAACTAATCTTTTAGCTTCTCTCCATTGGCTCCCTGTCAAATCCAGAATAGAATTGAACTTTACTAATTGATTTTTATGTGAATGTTCCTGTAAAGTCCCTGAGACAACTTGGTTGTGATTTGGAGCTTTATGAATAAACTGAATTGAATTGAATTCAAAATCTTACTTCTAACCTACAAAGCTCTCAACAACCTAGCTCCATCTTATATTACAGATCTTATTGTTCCATATTTTTCTAACAGAGCACTTCACTCTCAGACTGCAGGTTTACTTGTGGTTCCTAGAGTTTCCAAGAGCAGAATGGGAGGAAGATCTTTCAGTTCTCAGGCTCCTCCCTTGTGGAACCAACTTCCAGGTTCTGTCCATGAGGCTGACACATTGTCCAGTTTAAGACTTTCCTTTTTGATAAATCCTATAGTTAGGGTTGGCTTGGGTTTCCTGAGCTGTCCCTTAGTTCTGCTGCTATAGGCTTAGACTGCTGGAGGACAAACTGACCTCACTTCCTCTCTGCCGCTGTCTTTACTTACTCTGCTCTTCATGTTTGTGTTTGTAATTATTTCTATTTTAACATGGGTTTTGTCTTTCCTCCTATAGAAACCACACCTGGCTATAGAAACCACACCTGGCTATAGAAACCACACCTGGCTATAGAAACCACACCTGGCTATAGAAACCACACCTGGACCTGTCATTCTGTGTTTGTGTGTTTCTCCTTCCTGCTTCTCAAACCAGCTGGTCGAAGCAGATGGACACTTGTCCTGAACCTGGTTCTTCTGGAGGTTTCTGCCTGTTAACAGGAGTTTTTCTTCCCACTGTCTCCTCCGTTCTTGTTCAAGATGGCAGACTGTGACGAAGTGAAGACTGAACACAACCTGATGCTTCCTTGGAGAACTTCTACTTGTCTTTTATAATGTAATTGTTTCTGTTCAGTGCCCTGAGACGACTTCTGTTGTGATTTGGGAGTTTAGAAACAAACTGAATTGAATGAATACGTAACAACCAGAGCAATACTTAAACACTGACTTTGCACCTGAGTTAAAATACTCCTGAAAGGAATTACAAAAGTATTATTCCGGGCTCTGCATGTTGAATAGGTAGTAGTAGGTCTTCCTTTTAACCAGCAACATCTTGATTTTTTTAATGAACTTTGTCTTAGGCTATACAATTCATTACCAACTGCACCGATATTTACCTCCAAGTTCATGTCTTAACTTCTGCATCGGCGCCAAAATGTTCTTATCGTAGTTAAATGGACGACAAAAACGAAAGACGAGGTTACACCCGTCCAACTCTGCAGTAGCATCGTCGGCAAACTGTACCATCTACCGTAGGAAGCTTGGAAATCCTTCAAGTTTCCCTGCTGCGCTCTGAGAAAGGCCATAGGGCACTTTGGTAAACCTCCATTGGTAAAGGTTGATAAACTACCGTCTACACAGCAATACATAGCAACGGCCCGGACAAGCAACAACCCTGTATAACTTTGACCTTGATTTGTGACCTTGACCTTGCAACTGTGTGATGGAAAGGGTACGCGACACTCTGTCTGGTGATGATGCGCATGTGGATGAAGTTTTGTGAAGTTATCTCAAACAGAAGTTACGTGCAGGACAAGAGAACGTTTATGTACTGAGACTACACTGTAACACGTGCGCGTCAGACGGGCGCTTCAAAACGACAGATCGTTGAAAACGAACTCGAGACCGAACACAAAAGTCGATTAGTTGAGCTGAAAACAGGTGGAAATCTTCACCTTGGTAAGAGACGACAGGGTGCTCCTTTCTGCTGCAGTCCGCAGGTTTGATGTTCGGCTGCTGGGACAGACAAAGGGACCAACCGAGGACCAGCACGAGTCCACGAGAGAAGAGGGCCCCCCACCCCGACGTCATCATAGTTAAAACCACATTCAGTCTTGCAGCAGCTCCTCAAGAATCACCTGTAAGGACAGAAGAGACGATGTCAGACCAAGCACCAACACTATGAAATGAGCCC